CTTCCTTCCTTCCTTCCTTCCTTCCTTCCTTCCTTCCTTCCTTCCTTTCTTTGAGACAGGGTTTCTCTGTACAGCCCTAGCTGTCCTAGAACTCACTCTGTAGACCAGGCTGGCCTCAGACTCAGAGATCTGCCTGCCTCTGCCTCCTGAGAGCTGGGATTAAAGACATGCACCACCACTCCGTGGCCAAAGACCTCATTCTTAAAATAAGACCTGCATCTCAGCTCTGTGGGTTGTATTTCCCCTTCAAATGGTCCCCTTCAAATTTTTAAGTCATTAGCTTTGCATCTATTTCTGGAACATGCCATGTAACTAAATACCAAACTGTTAATAATTAAACTGAATAGCTTAAAAACAAAAAACAAACAAACTAGCCATGTGTATCTCAAAAGAGATGAGAAAGTACTAAGCCTATTGCAGTTGGGGACCAAATAAATAACAAAACGTGGCACCTCCTCACCAGTCATCCCCTCTCTCCCTTAACTTTGCGCGTAGTCATAAAATAGAGGCGATGATGTAATCATACAGGTCCTCACTTTTCCTAGTCTGTTCATGTTTGGTCTACAATGAGAAGTAAATTAAAACTGAAGAGTAGGGGGAAAATCCTCTAAAGAAAACGTACTCCGGGCCAAACAGTTGGCTAGCCCACAAGGCCAGTCACCATCTAAGTGATGGTGACTGATGCAGAGGCCTGGCTCCTGAGGTAGGTTTTCCAAGGTTTTATCGCCGTGATTTTCATAGCCTTTCCACGATATGCCAAACTGTTCATGAATGTTCAAATGAAAAACATTCTAACAGATGGAAAGGCTATGATCGCCCCCGTCTCTGTTGATCTTTGTTAGTTACTCTAATAAACGCTGGGTTATAGCTCAGTGTCTAGGGTAGTCCTCAACAGCATGTGTAAGGCCCTGGAGTCCACACCCAGAACACACTCGCACACGTGCATACACACACACACAAGAAGTGGTTTCTATCTTCCCTTCCCTAACATACATGTGTATAAGATGTAGAATTTCTTCCCTGACAAGATAAAAGTGTTAGGGAACCTGGTATGTAAAGAAAATGCAGTCGACACACGTTTACATTTAAGGATACTTATCTGAATGCAGGCGTAAATACTGCAACCAAAAGACCTGCTAGCTAGACTCATGGGGCGAACAGAATGTCAGCCACTCAGGTTTATTGGAGCAGGGTTGGGGAACTTGGAGAACTCGGTATCTGAGGAAGACTAGGGGCTGATGGGAAGGGATACAGGGGTGATGCGAGCAGTGGTGTGGGCGTGGCCTTCACAGGCGTGAAAACTCTCACGTTCCGCTTCCTCGATGTTGCATGAACGTTATGACCTTGGGTAAGATGTTTGACCTCTCTCGGAGTCTTGGGCTTTATATTTCAGTTTTTTTTTTAATTGCATTTACTTGTGTATGTGCTTTAAAAGATTTTCTATTGTTAAAGATTTACATGAGTATATGTTTGCCTGCACATTGTGTGTGCGCACCAGCCGGTTTCACAGTGTTAATTCTGCGGGTCCGTGAGTAGGGGAAGGGAGGAGAGGGGAGGGGAGAGGAGGGGAGGAGAGAGGAGGGGAGAGGAGGGGAGGGGAGAGGAGGGGAGAGGAGGGGA